GATCCTGGGCCAGCCTGAGCTAATGGTCTTTTCTAGTTCTACCTCTAGACCGTTTGACTCAGCCTCTCCCCAGCACCAGGTTGCACTCTGCTTGAGGGCCCCAAGGCTAGGCCCTGAGACATGAGGATGGAGGAGGAGTCTGAGGGCCTAGGAGAACCTCTGTGAGCTGTGGGCCAGGCGGTTCTGGGCTTGCGTGTGTGTGCTGAGAAGTGAGCTCTAAACCATAGCCTCCTGGATCTGCTCCCCTAGACTTGGGGCTCCTGAGTTCCCTGGTACAGCTCCTCACCTCCTCCTCGCTCTTGCTGGATCCTGGAAGCCCGTAACAAAGTCTGAATCACAAACTGATGGCCAAACGCACTGAACTAAAGATACTCCTAAAATTTCCCCAACCCCCGTTTCTCAACTTCCCTGACTCCATTTTGTTTCCTTCCCGTGCCCAGGCACCCGAACGCCGAGGCCCCCATTCCAGCCCTTAGCTGCTCCGTAGGTCCCCACACAACGACTTTGCTATTAAGCACTTGATTCAACCATATAGTCGTGAATGTCTGATTGCTATTTTGGAGCATTTCCCCCTCTTCCAAGTTTTCAATGACCAAAGAACCGGAAGGGCTGAGGAGCTTTGCCTTTGGAAAGGGCCTTTCTAGTTTGTTTTATTTATTTATTTATTTCTGTGAAGGATTTGAGTCTTCTCTCGCTGTGTGAATGATTGAATGATACTGGACAAGTTGCGGTGTCTCTCTGCTCAGTTTCCTCATATGTGGCACAGACGTCAGCACTCTGTCTGGTTTTAAGGCAACAGTTAAGATTCTGGATAGTGAAGGTACCTAGAGCCACACATCCTGGACATTCTGGGACAATCCTGATTTCAAATACTTTGTCCCCATCTTCAGATCTTGCGTCTGATCCTATAATCTAACTTGGGATAAGAAAATACGGTCTCGAGAGTGCTTTGAATTCTTTATTCCAGCAACAGGTTGGAATTTTATTTCCTAACATGCAAATAAAAAGCATTCGGATCCTGGGCACTGGCCTGGAAACTGCTGTCTGGAGCACAGAAGTGTGATTCTGCCCGGCAGGAACACAACCGTGTCGCTGGAGGACCTTCCTGGGGAGGCTCTGGGAGAGCTGCTGCCTCTGCCCTCGGTCCCCGTCTCACCCACCCCTGGGCGCTGGACAGAAAAGAGGTTACTCACCTGCACAGAGTGTCCACAGCACAGGCCACATCTTCCCCACCGTGATCTTGCTTTCTCTCTGCCCCAAACCCAGCCTGGCACTGGCAGGCACCAGGCAGGTCTGGGCTGACTGGTTAAAGCTACAGTAGCCTCTGGCCCGGCCCAGCCTGAGGTCCCTGCAGTTCTTCCTCTTCCCACTCACCTTTGCCCAGCCTGGCCCACAGGCCCTGCCCCTCTGCTGGGCTGGCAGGTGAGCTCACCTGTGGGCTGGCCTCACACTCCACCTGCTCCATCAAGGTCCCGAGAGGAGGCTGCCGTCCTTTCCCCTTGAACCAGTCACATCCCCTGCCTTTCCCTAGTTAGCAGGTGTACAAAGTCCTGGACTTCTCACAAAGGTGTGGTCCTCTCTTATAACTGACAGGAACTTGTCTCCTCATAATAAAAAGGAAACGCTCTCAGAGGTAGGGTCCAAGCCAATAAAAGAAGGGTGTGGCCCACATTTACCGAAACACTTCGAGCAAGACACAATATATTCCGTTTCTCTACTTCTCCCCTCTTCTACGGTGCCCACCCCACAGCACGCTGGAGATACAGTCCCGAGGAAGATGGACAGTCCCTACGCTCAGAGTTGAGAGTCCGGTGGGAAAAGTAGTGAGTACACAAGTAAACGAAGATCATCTTGGAGACAGTGTGACCAACACATCCCTGTTCTCCCGGGACTGTCTCAGTTTCCAATCCACAAGGGACTCCCTCAGGCCCAAGCAAATTGAGATGCTGGTCACCGTACTCAAAGAATGATAAATGCTGTGGCAAACATAATTCCCCCTGAGCGGCCACTGCTACTTGTTTCTTCCATACATATTCTGTTAATATATATATGATAGAGTATACACAAGTGACAGTATGCCATATACACTGTTTTGCAATGAGATTTGGTTTTGTTTTCTATTTTTCACTTAAAATATCTTGGAGAGTTTTTAGTATCAATACATATGGTACTACACACAGTACTACCACCGTCTATTTAATGGATGATAATATATGAGCGACATAATTTGTTTAACTGAACTATACGTTTAGGATGTTTTACCTCATCTTTCACAATTATGAAAAGAGTTGCAACTAATATCTATTATGCATATGTTATTTCACACATGTGATTATATATGTAAGATAAATTCTTAAAAGTAAAATTTCTGAAATGGCTCAAAGGTTACGCACATTTATAATTTTTATAGATATTGCCAAACTGTCCTCCATAAGGATTTTACTAGCCGACACTCCTATTAGCAGCATATGAGAATGCTTATCTCCCCGCGAACACACTAACATATTTATCAAACATTGATAAAACAATTATCAAATGTTTTGCTCTTTGCCAGTCTAAGTAGAAATTATGTGTATATACAATTTACTTCAAAAAATTAGCAGTGAAATTGAAAATCTTTTTATATAGTTGTACATTATTTATATTTCCTTTTCTGTGACTAGGTAGTTCATTTTCCCATATTTTTATTGGGTTGTTGGTCCTAGCTTATTGATTTCTAATAGCTCTTTGTATATTAGAGAAACTAACTTTTAGATATGATAACTATTGCAGATAATTTCCCCACTATTTCCTTGTATTGTGAATTTAGAATTTCCTACGTAAATTATTTCATCAATCCTTTGTGGCTACTAGGTTTGGTTGACATATAAAAGTTGTTGTTTTCTGTTTATTACAGATTTTCTGTTTATTATTGAATTCTGTCAGGTACCTTGTTGAATATGTAATATTCTCTCAGGTACCTTATTGAATTCACTCAGGTACCTTATTGAATACGTAATAAGTTTTCAGCCCAACATTTTAAAATGCCATCGCCATGTTAGTCTTCCTAACACACAGACCTGATGATGTCATTTGTCTGCTCAGGTCCCATCAATGACTCTGCAGAACCTAACAAATGAAATGCAGCTCCTTAAATTGGCCTTTAAGGCATTCTAGCATTTGCTCTCTAATACAGCCTACCTTCCAGAAATGACCTTCTAGATTGTGTAACTTATGCTCTGACCAAGTTAGACATCTTTTTACACCTGGAACACATCCTTTCTTGCTCCAAAACTTTTTCCCTGCCATTGCCTCTGTAATCCGTGTTTCCTTGTTATAATCCAACTTGTCCTTCAAAAGCCAGATCAGATATCACCGTTTCTTCCATGAAGCCTTTCCTGACTTCCTCAGCCAGAAGGGCTCTCTCCCTCCTTTGAACTCACACAGCACTCTGGGTCTCTTTTAGGGCACTAACTACATTCTGTCTTATGCTCAAGTTATTTTTGGTCTGTGTCTCATTCCTCCTAATAAACTGTGAGCTCATTCATTCAGCCAGTTTCTCATGACACTATGTGCCAGGCGTTATTCCACCTAGCTAGGAAGAAAGACAACTTTGAGCTATGTGTCTTACTAACTTCCATCAAATACAGCGCCTGATGCGTAGTAGGTAATCAGTAAATATTTGTAAGTGGATAGACAAATGGATGGATGGACAAGTGGGTGAAAGGGGTGATTATAGAACGTGCAGGATGAGAGGTATGGACCATGGGGTTGCCAGGCTTTGCTTTGATCATAGTGATGGGGGTGGGTACAATGGGGTAGGGTAGGTTATGAGCTCACTTGGAGTTTATGAAGCTCGCAGAATCTTTGTACCACCCAGGGTTGCCAACTGACCATCCCATGGGCTGTGAGTGAGGGGGAGGGAACGTGGAGGGTGAACACAACAGCCCAGTTTACTGTCCAGAGACGGCTCTGTTAAAAGGAATGTCACCCTGGCCACTAGCAATGACTACTCTTATAGCACTGTGGTTCTCTCCCAATACCTACCTCTCAGAGGACCCTCCCCATTCTATAAATCTGTTATTTTTTTCTAGGCCTCTCTAAGTTGACATGAGGCTGAGGCGAGTTTGTTTATTCTTCTAGATCCTTGGATTTAGACTATTTTCTGGAAGGACTTTGAATAGGCAGTCCCAGGCAGGAGGGTATGGAGAGAAAGCCCAGAGAAAACCTTTTCTTTAGGCCTCTCCATCTACAAAGCAGGAACCTCGTCCAATCCGCTGCGGAGCGTCAGTGTCGGGAGAGTGAGCCGGGAAGGAAGGAGTTAAGCGAGGCCTGCATTCCTTCCTCTCAGGGGTCTGCCAGCCTATGGGGCCAGAGACTAAATTTAGAGGGTGGCTAAGGTTTCCTGTTAACAGCTGTCCTGCCCCTCAGAGAAGAAGCACTCTAGAGAGGAGGAGGTTGGTCCTTCTCTCACGGGCTGGAGCTTTTGTCCGTTTCATCTGGGTCCCTCAGCCCTTGGGGTGGACACACGGGCAGGTCCTCGGTGAGTGTACTTCTCCCCTCCCCTGTCCTGGAGAGCCTGGGAATTAGGACCAAAGGGGCAGCGGCTCTGTCCTGAGTGCCAGGCCCTGCCGTGGTGTCTGAGACCAGCTGCCCGGGGATTTCATATCCCTTAATAGGCTGTGGGATGGTGCCTGAGCCAAAGGCCCTGACTCCTGTGGCCTTGGTTAGAGTCACGGAGGAAGACCAGCGGCACCTCCCCCAGCAGAGACAAAGGGGTGCCCGTGAGTGCAGGGCCGTGTGCGTGCACTGCCTGGTGTCCTGTTAACAGTAGCTGGGCCAGGTCAGACTAGATTTCCCTTGGGAATCCTTTGCCCACCAGGATATTAGCATGTGGTGACCTTCCCATCCCTAGTTCCACTGAGGCGACATCACTGACACCCACCCCCAGTAAAAACCTCTAGAACCTGATTCTCTAACTGCCTTTTTCTTGCCAAACTTTCAGAGGCTGGCAGGCTGTCATGGCGACCAGTGGGGACCCAGAGGAGGAGCAGGTGGTCCCAGGCGAGGAGGATGAAACCAACGTGAGGGCGGTGCAGGCCCACTACCTCCGGAGCCCCTCCCCCAGCCAGTAAGTGCGCTGATTTCCCACCCTGGCAGCCACGGCAGGGTGGGGGCGGGGAGCAGGATGAGCCGTGGGCCCCAGGACGCCACAGCCACCGTCTAAGTCCACTCACTTAACAAACAGAACTGAGTGCGTTTCTGTGTCGTACTTTCTGGAGGGGCAAACGTGCAAACAGATGGCAGTGTGGCATGGTAAGTGCTAGATGTTAGCATGTCTAGGGGCCAATGTGTGGTGGGCCAGGGAAGGGAACAACCAGACTTGGAAGGGTCACAGGAGGCTTCCTGATGATGTCGGACCCGAACCTCGAGGGATGAGTAGGAGTTTGGCAGATCCACCTGCTAGAGCTTCATTCACTAGGATTGGGGCTGGGTGTGGGGACGACAGGCCATAGATCATAAGAGAAGGGACCAGGAGAGGAAGAGGCCCATGGAACAGTTCCTAGTACTGAAATAATTTTTTATCCATGATCAAGCTGTGTCTTTCAAACTGGGAGATGTGCGTGCCTGGGGCAAGCGGCAGGGCGCCAAGAGACAGGGAAACAGGATGCATCTTCCTGGAGAATCCTCTTCATTTTATGACATTTAATTTAAAACTTTCTTGTTTACATTAAAAGAATTGAGAAAACATTATGATGTAGAGTGACAAATCTGCATGAATTTTTAAGACAAATCATGAGACATTAAAGAAGTGTCATATTCAACTGCCCGCTGAAATGATAGCGTGTGCCTGTCTGTCGTCTTCTGCTATAAATGATAGCAGGGACCTGACTTCTAATCATAGCTCTGTCACCAAATTGATGAGAAGAATAACTCAAACGATTGAGCCTGTGTCTCCTTGTCTGTGAAAAGAGAAAGAAAGGCCCAACAAAAATATCTCAAAGTAACTTTACCTCTAAGTATGTATAACTCTGTTTGACTTCACTGTTTCTAAGTTCTGGAGTCTTGCTGGCTCCTGCTTCTCGGGGTTCAAAACTCCTCGCCACTGGGTTAAGATGGAAGCAAGGGCAGGTGCTCCCCAGTCACAGGTGAGAGCATTTGGCCTAAATGGAGCTTGGGGACTCTTTAAAACTCAGCATTATGTTGCCACTTAGAAAAATGATCAGGATTGAGAGATGTAAAATACACCCCTCTCTTCTTGTACACTCCAGGGTAAGGGCAGAGGTAGCTTTGTGTGTGGTTGGGGTAAGTGGCAGGTTTGTGTATTACTTAGGGCAATGTTCACCATTCTATCAAAAGGACGTTTCTTTCTTGCTCAAATAAGTTCCAAAACGGGACCCTGAGCAGTAATTCAGGAACCAAGGCCCCTTCCATCTTGTGGACGCACCATTTTAAATCACGGCTCCTAAAGTCACTGTGCTCATCCGTACCAAGACAGAATGGAGAAGGGCACAGAGAATTTCCCAGGAGGTTTTTATGGGCCAGATCTGAGAATGGCCACTTCACTTCCACTCATATGCCATTGGCTGGAACTCAGCAAGGCCATGCTTTCTTGCAAGGAAGGATGAGAAGTAAGATCCATTAGCCCAGGAAACAGAGGCAGTGATTTTGTTGATACATAGCAGTCTCAGCCACAGTATACCCCTCGAGTCAGTCAATCCACGCTACCTTTTCCCCACTCATAGCACATGTTTCCTGCCTCCCAAGTGAGACAACCCCAAATCCCACTCTCCAACTGCTGTATACATAGTTCAAAGGCCGCGTTCTCTGAGGGATGTGCATTCTCTCCCTCAGGTCTGGAGGTAACACCTTATGGTCTTGCTAGGATAACTGCCAAAAAGGCTCCCATTTTATAAAGAAAGGAATGGGAGCCATATTGATAGAAACCTATGATTGATGAGCATGGCTAGTGCAGATGTGGGGAAACCGCCTAGATCTGACCTTGATTTGGATATCTGGGAGGAACTCCCTTGTCGGTTGTTCTCTCTGGCCTGTAGCCCTACCTTCTGCGCCTTCCTCCTTGTCTGTTACCCTCCGTAGCCACATCTGAAGTGGGGTGGGAGGCATGTCTTCCTTGAAGTCTGTATAGCTTTTGCAGACTGTGTCCTGCTCATGGAAATTTGGGGGCCCAAGGGCTGTTTTGAGGCTCATAACATCCAAAGGCTTTTTAAATCCGTGGTTTCTTTGAAAACATGATCCCTTCGAAAAACTCAATAAGTTTCTGATCTCTGTAGACCAAACGACTCCTTGTGTTAGCAACCACACTCAAAGTTCTTTCTTACATATCATTTTCCGTCCTGATTCATTTGTTTGCTTCCTTGTCTCAACTCAATGACAGTTATCTGGAGAGGTTATCTGAAACTGTAAATTTGGGTGGGAAATCCAGGATGCATGTTGTGGTTTCTGGTGTAATTGTTAGAAAGTTTGCAACAGAACATAAAGCTAACAAGCTAATGAGGGGAGGATGAGATAATAAAATATAATCAATCCAAAAGAAGAAAAGAAAGAAGACAAAAAGAATACAAAAGAAGCATAACAAATAATAAGAAAATAGTACGATGACAGATTTAAATCCAAATATATAAGTAACTACATTAAATGTAAATAGACTACTCCAATTAAAAGACAAAGATTATCAGACTCAATTTGTTAAAAAGCCTACATACTGTTTACAAGAGATATACCTTAAAAATAAGGACATACAAAGGTTAACAATAGAAAACTTATACTACACTGTTCCAGTTACTATTGTTTATAACTTCAAAATTTAGTGGCATAAAAAAAACCATTTTATTATGTTCTCCACCTGAAAAAGGCACAGTGGAATTAGCTTGTCTTTAACCCAAGATGTCTGCAGCTTCAACTGGAAAGATTTGAAGACTGGGAATGACTTTAAGGCTGAGGGTGACTCAGAGGCATCTTCACATATTTGGCCATTCATGTAGGGATTTTTCTGGGCTGTTGGCCAAAATATCTAAGACGGTCTCTCCATATGGGCCACTTTGGGCCTTCTCAAAGCATGGTAACTAAATTCCAAAAGTTACATCCGAGAGAACAAGACAGAAGTTTATTAATTTTCATTATCTAACCCGAGAAGTCACATAGTGTCACTTCTGCCAACTCTGCTGTCACAAAGATCCACAAAGTTTCAAAGGTAGCCAACACAGACTCCATCACTCCAAGGAGAGGTAGCAAGGTGATATCCTAAAGAGAGTGAGTGGGATACTGTGGTCATCTTTGGAAAATACAAGCTGCCACAAATGGAAACACTAACCAAAAGCAAGCCAGTGAAGCTATATCGATATCAAACAAGGCAGATTTTAATGTAAGCATTATTAGAGACAAAGAGAAAAAGAGGGGCATTTTGTAACAATCAAAGTTTCAGTTCACCAGGAAGATATAATAATTTAAAATTTCTGGCCGGGCGCGGTGGCTCACACCTGTAATCCTAGCTCTCTGGGAGGCCGAGGCGGGCGGATTGTTTGAGCTCAGGAGTTCGAAACCAGCCTGAGCAAGAGCAAGACCCCGTCTCTACTAAAATTAGAAAGAAATTAATTGGACAACTAAAAATATATACAAAAAATTAGCCGGGCATGGTGGCACATGCCTGTAGTCCCAGCTACTCGGGAGGCTGAGGCAGGAGGATTACTTGAGCCCAGGAGTTTGAGGTTGCTGTGAGCTAGGCTGACGCCATGGCACTCTAGCCCGGGCAACACAGTGAGACTCTGTCTCAAAAAACAAACAAACAAACAAACAAACAAAACAAAATTTCTACGTCTAATAATATAACTTCAAAATATATAAAGCAAAAAATAGACAGAACTGAATGAAAAATTAAAATTCACAATCTTAGTCAACTGTATGTATTTTTTTTAAAAACTATCTCAGCAATTGATAGAATGAGGCCAAAAAAATTATTAAGACTGAAGGAAATTTGAACAAAACAATAAACAAAATTAACCTAACTAACATTTAGAGAACGTGTACCCAACAACTGCAGGATTTATTATGTACACATGGAACATTTACTTAAATAGATCATATACTGGACCATACTTATGTCGACAAATTTTTAATGATTGAAATCATACAGGATATGTTCTCTGACCATAGGAGAATGAAGGTAGAAATCAATAAAAAAAAGAAATAATAGAAATCCAAATTAAACCATAATTCAATACTAGTGCATGCTCACTAGAGTATCTAAAATTAAAGACTGACAATAGCAAATATGAATGAGGATATGAAGCAATCAGAACTATTCATTGCTGGTGAGA